CTAGCAAAAAATTTCCCGTCTCTGCTCCAAACGTATGCGTACTTCAGTTCCTTGCATTTTTCTTTGAGTTTTTTGAAGAACAACTTGTTTTCAGGCGAGAGATGTTCATTGACGTAGACCTTGTCGTGTGGGAAGCTGCGACTGATGTCATTCGCAGTTAGGTGTGAACCTCCTTTCCTAGACTCCTTGAAGTTCGCGATGAAAGCCTCTTTCATTGTCCTCTCTGTGAACTGCACCACCAATGACGGTACCCGTGCCTGGTTGTAGGATGGGATCCTGTGGGCTGCTGCGATGTGGCTTGGCTGCACCTCTAAACCCAGCGCCTTCCCGACCTCCTTGATGATGGTTTTCACGTCTTTGTTCTCTGTTTTAGGAATCCCGCTAATCTCCACATTATTTTTCCTGCTGTACTGCTCCATATTACGCACCCAACACTTTAATGATGAGTGAATTTTAAAGACTGTAAAAAGGCGTGCAATTTTTAAGCCATCCTTATGATTGATAATTAATAAAAAAGACACTTTTGGGGTTATGTAACATTTAATTATTGTTTGAAATAATCTAAAATCGATTAAAATAACTTGCAAAGCGGACGGAGACTGTTGCATTGTTGTGGCAGACTTAGACCGCATGCCTCGGCATGCACTACATCTCTTACCCCTTTTTAGAAAACAATTAATAAGCGAAAAAAACAAAATGGCGGCTATGTGAGCAACTAAGGACTTCCGGTCAATTTAAATATGATATTTGGATTTGTTTCTTACCCAGGAACAATACCCTAAAATATCCGACACGAATTCTGAAACACCCTGAATTTTATTGATAATCTTGAACCCAGATGCACTGTATTTTAAATGGAGGAATTGTTTTGAATAATAATTTTGGATAAGCCAATGAATAAATTTTGATTATAAATTATATATATGTTGAGACAATATGGTTTTACTAATATTAACAATGAACATGAATAAATATTAAAAATATAACAAGATTTAGTTTGGAATTTAATTAGGCCTAATGACTATATACTCGTATTTGTAAACATTGGTTTTTGAGTCATTACAATATCCCCTCAGAAAATAGGCAATTAAATTCTTTAATGACATGTTTTCGATAAATGACGAGAAAACACAATTAATTTAATAACAAATACTTGATTGAGTTGAAACAAAAATCTAACAAACTTGACATTATACCTAAGGTTTTAACTAGAACAGAATTGCAGTTGGAACGAACATAACAATAACATAATTCTAAAATAACAAAATGATTACTATCCCCTCCTATCTTATACAAACTTTAATAACATAACATTAGTTAAAGTGGTTAAAACAATTTTTTTTATTTTTTTTTACATACATGAATGGAGTGATGAACAAATGCTGATATACGTAATGAACATGAGACATATACAAGATGAATGATGCTTATAGGTAGTATGGAGCACATTAATGAATTTATAATAGTTGTTGATGATTGCTTGATGATAATCTCTTATAACTAAATACATTTGTGATTATGACTATCGTTTATAACAATTGGAACAAAGGTAACTGGGGTAGATTTTGAAGGTATTCATGTAGTTGTGGGTCTGTGGTTCTTTCTTGGGTAAGTGATATTCTTCGTACATTGTAAAATAGTTTTCTTCATTATTATAGTAGTTATCATATGGCCTTGGCAATTGCTTATATCTATTTGACATACTTGTCCCATTTTAATACTCATATCACTTTTTAGTTTAATATCAGTAGCATTAATTGTTAAACTTAATTTATTATCATTAAACTCTATCTTTAGTCGGAGTTCTGTTAATATCACATCGGTGTCCATACCAAATATCACAGGTTTAATTAAATTAGGTATGATAAGAAATTGAAGCCAGATGGTCTGATGTTCAATGGTTACAGGGGCATAAATGATTCTTGCAACACGTTTTGATTTTTCACCTGTGGCTGTAGTTATTGTTGTATTAGCCAAAGTAAGTTCTTCAAAAGGTTGAATTATTTTTTGATTCTCTTTGAAAAATTCTTTGGAAATACATGTTATTGTAGAACCAGTATCGATTAATGCTTTTGTTGTGAGATTATTTATTCTAATATCTATTTCAGGGCATTTAACTGGTTTGGATACAGGAGATTTATTATTTACAGCAGGTTCATTTAATAAGAAATCTTGATCACACATTATATTTTTTATTGAGAAATTGTAAGGGTTATTGGAATAATTATTTTCGAGGATATTTGCTGTTGATATCACTGTAGTTGTTATGATGTTAGTAGTTGATGGTCCTCGGCTTACATCTACAGCGACAGGTCGTTTCCCTGGGTAGTGTGTGAGGGGTTGAAATTTGTTGGAGATCTTTGTTGTGTTGCTGTGTCATGTGGACTGTCTTGGCTTATCATGGCACACACTTGTTTTTGCTCATTTGTAGGATATGGCTTGCTGTTATTATTGTAGTATTGATTAGGCCTTTGGTTGTATCGGTTTTGATCGGAGGGCATATTGGTATATGGATGCTGTCTGTTGTTCTGATTGTTGATATTGTTGATCAACATTTTACTAAAAAACACACTTTATTAGTTTCCTTGTAGCAGCAAACCTAGGTACTCGTCAATCCTAATGTTATTAAAATATATTTAATTGAAAATCAATTCAGACAAATGGAAATTTGCTTAGCCGACAGGTTTGCTGCGGCGGGGGTATTTTTCATTTATCAGGATGTGAAATTTCTATTTACAACATTTGTTCAGGTCAACATATGATATTTTAATGTTTAATAATGTAGGCCTATAATATGTGTGAAATACATTATATATTTTCTTATATTGTAATTTATATGTGTTTGTTTGTTTGTTTGTTTGTTTGAAGTTCAATCACACATTAACTACTGGACAGATTGGGCTGAAATTTGGTATGACGATAGCTCACATTCCCGATTAACATATAGGCATATTTTTATCTCAAAAATCCTTTCGGGCTCCGCCCCAGTGGCTCTGTAGTTCCCCTTGTTAACCTTACAAGAGGCCTTGATGAGGCCTTGATGAGGGGGATCCTATAGGGGGATAAAGTAAAAACATGTATATATTTATACTCTACAGATTAAATTTTGCACATTAAGTAAAGAAAGGGCCATGTGGCACTGTTGAAATAATGCATTTTCATTTCATTAAATTAATTCGTTACTTTATGTTTACACTAGCACAACCCGTTGTGACTTTGCTCACGACGATTCTTAATGTTTTAACGAAACAGTCCAGATAACGGTTTTTCCGGTTAAACCGAAGTGTTCTGATAATTAAACCCGTACATCTAACGACTAGTGTAAATTGAGCCCTTATTAGAGAAGTAAAAATGTAATCAAACAGATTAAGTTTGTTAGAAATAGCATAAACAAAACAAATATTGAAAAACTCATCTATCCTAAATTTACATATCACTTTTTAATTGCTTGTTTAACATAATATGTAGAGTGATTTTCTCGATTGTTTTATTTGTTTTAGTGTATCAAAACATAAAACAAAACTTAGTACTAGTACTAAGTTTCAAGTTCCTAGGTTTCATATGTTTTTTAATAAGTAGTATTAAACTGTTAAAAATGACTAGCTGCTGTACTAGTGTACCATCGGTACACTGCATTTTTCAATGGAAAGTATCGGGGAATATCACTGCTCTAAGTAATTTTATATAGTAAGTAGTTCAAATCATTCGGTATACCTGAAAAAAAAAATACTTTATAAAAGTTTTAAAATAATTTTCAGCTGTCCCTATGAATTTTTCTAACATTTAAATTAAATGAGATTTAATCGCAGCTGGTCCTTCTTTTGTTTTTATTTTAATCCCATGTTATTTAAATGGGCCAAAATCGTACTTTGAGAGCTTGCCAAGGGTTTATGGGTCAACGCACCGACTTGAGACCCTCAAAAGGCACATCGTGTAGATGTGTAGACTTAACGTGTAGTTAAGGGGTTTCAAACAACATAAAAAACATTAAAATTGAGCCAGTGGTTTGGGCTGTAGGTCCGTCAACATTCAAGGAGAAGAAGGAGAGAACACGGAAAATTTGTGAATTTTCAAACTAGTTTTTCTGGCTCAAACACAACCGTTTTTTAAATTCTTTTTTTTTTATTTTGTTGAGAATGAGTGCCCCTATCCAGTAGATGAATAATTATTTTAATAGCTTTTGTTTCTTCAAAAATATAGACGAGTAAAAAAGCCACTTTGTCACGTCATGTACATATACACTGCAGCAGCTGTGTACCGCTGGGGGACTTGGCGGGGCGGAACACTGCCGCGTTCCTTAATATACTGTTGTTGGCAGAGAAACGTATATCTTAAAAAATAAGTTTACACCACCACATCTCGATTTTTAAATTCATTTAACAATAACAAAGTGTTTGGCAGCAAAACACAAATTTTGAACCCACAAAAATAATGCAAATATTTTGGTTATGTAATTAATTCAAAGTTTATAACAGTGTTTTATAAATAGCAATTTGAATATAACCCGATGTTCCTTTATTTAGTGTAAATTCAAAAGTATTCCTCTTTTCAAATTAAAAAAATCTTTTCTCCATAAGAACAATGTATGAACTTCCTGAGTTCTTATGGTTTGTAGTTTTTGAGATATAGTGATCAATGAGTGGTATTTGCCTTTTTAACTATAAATGTAAATAGATTTAGATGGACTTGACATGTTTGTACCATTGATTTTACATACTGCAAGTAGACATCTCATAACGTGAACCAAAAATATGTAGCCTACCATTGACTTTGGATAATATTTACATGAACTAGATCTAGAATTGGTTAGGGATACTGCAAATAGTCATCCCATTTTACATAATTAAAACAGATGTAGAATTGACTTTTGGTAACGTATTGGATTAATATGCTTACTCTGCTCAATATTACAAGCGGACAACTGCATTGTAGGCCCTACACCTAGCTACTACATTAGCTAGCAAGAACAGCAGTCTTACACATTTGTTGTCTTCTTACAGGTATGCTGTCCTGGCCCCTCCACAGAGACTCCTGTTAATACACAATCTAATGACCTCCCGGACACCAACGTCTGTGGTCGGTCTGATGCTGCAGCAAACAGGGTGGTCAATGGTCGGCCGGCTGTGTTAGGTAAGCCTACTAACTACTGTACTTGTGAAATAATAATTATTTATTATAAATGTAGAATGACCTTAATACTTACATAAGTTGCCCGGAGAAAATCGTAAGAAAGAAGAACAAAACTTCGAGTGGTGCAGGAAAATCTTGGTACACACCGGACTTGAGAAAAATGAAAGAAAGGGCTATGGCCTATCGTACAATACTTCAAGCTTCTCCTAGCGAGGTGGCAATTAAGGCATACAATTGCAGTCGGAAGATCTACAAATCGGCAGTCAACCAGGCAAAACTAGATGCAAACGACAGATCCATCGAGTCCGCTTCCAACAAAAGCCGAACAGCTTGGAACATCATCAAGAAGAGCACAACCAACAATGTTCCGGATGTCGAGGTGGGAATTTCCCCTGAGGAGTTTAACAACTTCTTCATCAGCTCAGTAGAGGAAGCCAGAAGTAGGCTACCATCGATCAGCCTGATGTGTCTTCAGAGGAACTGCTTCGTAGGTACGGTCGTTGTGAAGCTCACCTTAAATGGAAATATGTGACCAGTGAGGAGGTTATAAGTGAAGTGCGGGCCATGAAAGCTTCAAAAAGTAAAGATGTGTTCGGCCTATCGGGTTACATAATCCGGTATATTCTGAGTGCAATATTGCTTCCTTTGGTGTTGTGTATCAATGCGATTTTTAGGGAGGGAGTTTTCTCAAAAGCGCTGGAAATAGCACGAGTGGTTCCTATTCACAAAAAGGGTTGCAAAAGTAATGTCAAGAATTATCGACCAGTGTCATTAGTGCCTATTTTAGGTAAATTAATTGAACGGATTGTAAAGCACCAGGTATGTACACACTTTGATAGATTTAAGCTTTTTTCTGCATGTCAGTTTGGTTTTCGGAGTGGAAGGTCAACTACGGATGCCATTGATTGCTTTGTTTCTGGGATTTTGGAAGCTTTTGAGGGAAGGAGTCTTGCTCAGGTGACTGCGTGTGAGTGGTTGTCCTCTCCAATTTTTTAAGTCTTATTTAAGTGGTCACTCACAGTTTGTTGATGCAAAGGTTGTGCATTTCAGGTGCATTGAAGTTAAAACTGGGGTTCCCCAAGGCTCGGTCCTTGGTCCCCTACTCTTTTTGATTTCTGTCAATGATTTGCCACTTAGTATTGAGGGTGCTCAAACCACAATGTTTGCAGATGATACAACGTTCCTAACTGTTCACCCTGATCTCAATAGATTAAAGTTATCTGTAGAACATACAATGAAACAAGCTGGGGATTGGTTTAGTGCCAATAAACTCCTTCTTAATGTAGACAAGACACAACACCTAGTTTGCCATACTAAAAACAAAGATTTGGGCTCAGGTGTAATTTGTAAAGAGGTTAGGCCCTTAAAAGTCCTGGGTGTGTTGATTGACAGCAGCCTTTCTTGGTCAGCTCACATTGATTTAGTATGTTCAAAACTGTCAAGAGTTATTATTTATTTAGTGAATAGGTTAAGAACTGTTGTTTCTGAGAAATATATCCGAGTAGCCTATTTTGCATTTTTTCAGTCAGTGTAAAGCTATATGGTCTGATTCTCTGGGGTAACGGTAGTAATATAAGTGATGTTTTGTTACTTCAGAAAAAGGCACTTAGAATAGTAACCAAATCAGCTCTCAAAGCCCATTGTAGACCTTTGTTTATAAAAACTAGGATATTGACTGTCATTGACCTGTACATATATGTGTGTTTACTTGATGTTAAATTAAAATTAGGAGACTTGGCTGTTAGAAAAGATTTCCATTCTCATTACACTAGATCTAACTCTCTAGTCTCTACTTGAAATTCCGTCCCATAGACTAAGTAAATGTGCCAGTAACCATTCAATCATGAGCTTAAAGTTATTCAATATATTGCACTCTGAGTCAAGAGCGTTGCCTGTGCTGGTTTTTAAAGATAGGCTATACAACTGGCTTGTTGAACATCCTTTTTATGTGATTAAAGAGTTTTTTGATGTAAAAGTTGTTAAGTTTTGATGTTTAGTTTATCTAGTAGCCTATATTCTCCACCAAGCCTACAGCCTTCTTTTTACTTTTAAATTTTTACCTGTTATTGTCTGTGATATTAGCTTATTAATCTAGTCTGACTGGGTTACTGTGTAACCCTATTTTACCATGATATGTGACTAAGTCTATTGCAAGATTGTTTTGCTTAAGGACAATAAAGGATTTCTGATTTCTGATATCTGACTTATTTATCATTATCATTACCATCTACTTTAACATGGTGGCACACACAAAGTTAATATTTTAAGCTGAACATGAATGCAAATGTAAATAAACCTGCAGACTAAGCGAACTTCAATGTGCCTAATTTGATTCATACTAAATATTTCCATAAACAAGACATTTATTTTCCATAGCAATTACTTAGGTTTTCTGCTATGGGGAAGGTAAAAAGTGTTTTTCGGCCAAATGTTAATATAGTATAAGGTAAAATAAAATAATTTTCCAAATTTGATCAACATATATCCTTAACAAGCAAGCTACAACAGTGTTCTTAATTTCCATAAGAATAACATGGGAATTTTAAAATTATATTTTTTAATTTTCTCCATAACCAATAACTGTACAAAAACACTTCAATGTACTAAATTTCTTTTTTTAAGCTTTTCATAATGGTTTAGAGTAAAGTTGAGAACATTTATGTTTTGTGGGTAAAAAATGGGAAAAACTAATTTTTACACCATTAAACCCCATTTCCATGGTCCGATCATGCTGATTCACGAACTCAATCAAGTTTATCCTGGCCCACACCTTAGACACTATAGTTTCATGGAAATCAGACAAAAATTACTCAAGATATCGTGTTCACATACATACAAATCTAATACCGGGAGACCGAGCTTCGCTCGGATTGAATAGAGCATTTATTAAATACCGTAAGTTAATTATTGAATCAAAACTTTTGCAAGCCTTCTCATGGCATATGGATAATTTTGCTGTTGAAAAAGTGGAGTAAGGATAGCTCAGTATTAAAAATGTTCTTATTCAATAATATCTCTCAACCACCGACATGGCGACTTTATATGTTTAAAGGAATTTCAGACTTCACTGCTCTGACGTTCTTAAAATGTCGAGCAGCGATTCGTCCACTCTTCTGCTCAAAATGATCAGCCTGTTATTCATTATATTTCTCGGCCATAAGATCTGAAATTATTTCACAACTTTCATTCTTCAATGCGAATTGACCAAGATTGTGAAGCATCTGAGTGAGAGATGTATGAGCTGGTTGGATCAGGTTCGGTTGTAGAGGAAGTGGTAAAATTTGTTTCTAGTAGTCGATTGACGATTGTAGCTTCTCTCCGTTGCAGGTTCTGTAAATATTTTTGCTTCGGAGGTATTCCACGTTTCATTTTTTTATCTTTAAAATTAATCTTAAAAACATTTAACACTTATAAGTAGGTATCTAATAAAATAAACTAAATATACAACACTATTCTTTAAAATGTTTACACTAGGGGCCATGAGAGTCTGCAGTTGGTGGTAGCCAATAGCAAGACTGGACTAGCGCGACGTTGCAACATCGCCTGTTCACTAATTTTCAACACTAATTAAAATATACTAAACAATATTTTTAAATCAGCTATAGTATTATTAGATTTGGCAACACCGCACTGTCCTCATTGGCTCCTTCGAAGTCACGTGGTAAATAGGCTCCTCCCTCAACTGCAGACTCTTGTGGACTGTACTGGTAGTCCAAACCAACCAATGCAGTTATTTTTGTTTACACGACAAATAAAATGATGACAATAAAAATAACCTGTATCAGCTGTTTTTGTTAACTGCCTACAAAAACGTATTGCCGATAACATAGACACTTTCAAGGGCTGTAGGACAGAAACTGGATTTTTCCCAGCATTGTGACCAACTCCAATCGATTTCACGTGACCAAATACCCCACATTCAACAAAAAAATTGAAAATAAATGTTTGCCCATACATGCGCTTGTTTTAGAGTAGGCCTACCTATAGGAAATATATACTTACAGGGTTGGAAATAGTCCCGGAACAGTTAAATATTTCAAATACCCCCGCCGCAGCAAACCTGCAGACTTAGCGAATTTTCATTTGCCTCATTGGATTTACACTAAAATGTCTCCTTAAATATATCACATTTATTCCCTATTTAAATAGAATTAGTTTAACGAGTACTTAGGTTTGCTGCAACAGGGAGGGTAAATAAGTGTTTTTTAATGTAAAATGTTAATAGGTACCTACTGTAGTTTAGTAAGAAATTAATGTATTTTCCAAATTTGATCAAAATATTTTCATAAATAAGCAAACTACAACAGATGCCTCATTCTCCATAAGAATAACATGGGAATTTTAAAATTACAATTTTTTTTATTTTCTCCGTAACCCTTAGGCGCATAATAACGCTTCAATATACTAAATTATTTGTTTCTTTATGCTCTACATAATGGTTTGGAAAGTAATTGTGAAATTTTGTGTTTTTATGGTCAAAAATGGGAAAAACATATTTTTACCCCATAAAACCCCCCAAAAACCCCCGTTCCCATAGTCCGATCATGCTGGTTCGCAAACTCATTCAAGTTTATCCTGCTTTACACCTTTTAACCAAATTTCATCAAAATCGGACAAAAATTACTTAAGTTATCGCGTTCACGGTCACACACACACATATATATATATATATATATATATATATATATATATATATATATATAAGTACAGTATATATACCTATATATTTTTATACATATATAAAAATTTTAACGAATGGTGTTTTTGGCCTCTGGGGACATCAAAATGAAACAGTAAATCGGTCCCGGGTCTAGGTCTTACCATGCCACCTACGGTAATAGCTTACTTCCCTATAGGGAAATTCGCTAAAAGTAGGTAGAGCTTCAAAACTTGGCACACAGTTACGGTACTGGGCAATAAAATAATTTTAACAAATTACTCAGTGATGCGCTACTTCCTCAGGGGGGCGGCCCGCTAGGAGTCAGAAGAAAATATTAAAT